TGGGGGGCGAGCCCCCCTCCCCCCACCCCCCCCCCCCCCGGCACCGGTGCCCACGGCTCTGCTGAATCCGAGGGGCAAAACCAGCCCCCCTGGCACCCCCCGCTGCCCCCCTGGCACAACCGAGCACTGCTGCACCCACGTACAGCCCCGGGGGAGGACAAAAAAAGGCCTTTTGAGCGTGGCCAGAGGTGCCACAGGTCACCAAAGCCGGGCTGGCAGTGGCACGGAGGGAGTGGGATGGGCAGCCGAGCCCCCTCTCCCTGCCCACAGCCCCTTAATCTGGGCCGAGGATCTGGCAGCAGGATTATTCTCCTCCCTGGAGCTGAGCCCCAACTGAGGGGATTAAGGCTGGTGGTTACATAAAGGAGAGGGGGGCTGATGCCTCCCAGCCTCGGACCCCAGCCCTCGGATGACCAAGCACAGGCAGGGATGCTCAGGATCCCACCCCCCTCCCTGCCATGGAGCTCAGGACCCCCACCCACAGCAGGGTCTGACTCTCAGCTCGGTGCTGGAACATCTGCTGGGGACGCTGCCAGCGGGGTTATCTAACTCCAGCCTCCCTCCACATGCTCCCTGCTCTCAGTGCAGGACAGGGCAGCAGGGGCAGAGCCATCAAACCACCACCAGGACACCTGGATCCGGTTATCTAGTTCCAGCCTCCCTCCACATGCTCCCTGCTCTCAGTGCAGGACAGGGCAGCAGGGGCAGAGCCATCAAACCACCACCAGGACACCTGGATCCTTCCCAAAACAAAAGAGAAGTCACATACACAAAAAACCAAACCCAACACCCCCAACAAACCCCAGATCTTGCATAAGCTCAGCTGCAGCAAGAAAAGCCAGGCACCATTTACAAACAATGCAAAAGAGGATTTATTGAAACCATCCTGGTTAGACCAAGTCCTAGAAGGGCACAATTTGCAATAAGTTACAGGAACCAAACCAAACAGTCTCAGTGTTAAAAAAAAAAAAAATCACACTAACACGTAACACAGTGATCTATGCCATTGTCACCCAGCTGAGTTACTGAATCAAGGCACAAAGTCATTCATTAAATACTGCAAAAAATACAAACCAACCCAATTACACACAGAAATAAGCTGGGAAAAGGACTTGTTAAGAAGGTGCTGGTTTGGCACTGATGCATTTCATTGAGCTGCCACAGGGAAATCTGCATTTCCAAAGTCTCTGGAAACATTAAAGGACAACTTAAAGCCAGAAAAGCCCCCTCCTCCCAAAGCTGGAAAGCCAGCTCTCCTGAAGGAACATGCAGTGAGCCCATGGGACAGGTCAGGTCTGGGCAGGGATTGGAGGGAGAGAGCTGAGATGCTGTGACTGCAGAGAGGGAACACAGTCCAGGCACCTTGCTCCCTGCCAGGGGAATTTCAGTGGGATACAATCCACACCCAACACCCAGACAGGACAAGCACACATGCCTGGGGCAGCCACGCTCCAGGCTCTGCCCCTGCTGCTGGGAGGGCAGGATTCAGCTGCTCCTACTGCCCCTGATCCTGCAACAGCCCTGCCTGGGCTGCCAGGCTTCAGGCTTCATCCTGCTGAGCAAAGAGGTGGCTTCAGCTGAGGGGACATGGCAGGGGAGTCTCCATGTGTCCCCACACTCAGAAAACAGCTTGGAAAGCCAGGAGCAGAGGGGGAAACCCAGTGTTTTGAGTCCAGGGTGCTCTGGGGGTTGTGGAGTGCTCTCCTGGGAGCATCCCCAGCTTCCTGCACAGCCTGGGCTCCACCAGCAGCACTCACCCTACACAGCTCCTTCAGCTGCCTGAGCGTGGGTCACAGGGCAGAGGGAGCCAGGGACTCCTTTGGGCAACCACCAGGCCAGCTGGAAGCAGGAGATAAGCATCCAGGCAGACCACAGCAGCTCATTTTGCTGCATGACTGGGAGAGCTGAGGCACGAGCTGCCCTGCAGCAGGGGAAAGCTCAGGGGTTGCCACAAGAACCGAAGCTCAACCCTGTGCAACCCAACTTAGGTTTCCCACCCCACAGCATTCCTACACACACCCTGATCCCAGATGAGGCAAGGGAGGGGGACATCAGCCAAACCCCCTCGGGCACCACGAAACTTCAGAGGTTACCTGCAGGGTGTGTGCTTTCTGCCCACTTTCCTCTCACCCATCACAGACACCCAAGCAGCTGATGGAGAGGACTCGTGTCCCAGCGTGGCTGTGGGGACAGCAGCCTTCAGGACTGAAGAGCCAATTCAAACCATTATCCAGGCTTTGCACCTCATTTCTACCATCCATGCTGGTGCCTACCACAACTCTCAGAAGTCCTGCAGAAGTCTCCAGAAGAGACATCATCTCCACACAGCAACCCATCCCATTCCCTTGGGCAGGACAGAGAGGACAGTACCTGGAGATCCTCACCCAGCATCATTTCATTCCCAGGGCAGGGAGGGAGCACAGAGCTCTCTGGAGCTCTGCCCTGCTTCCCCAAGCAGCTGTGCCTGTCCTACAGCCTGCCCACCCCCTGGCAGAGGGGACAGTGCTTGGGAAAGACTCCTCAGCAGCTGCAAGACTGAAAGAGAGTCTCTCTCTCTGCAGGAGAGCTAGCATTGCCACGTGGGGACAGGGCTTCCCAGAGTAGCAAGCCCAGCTCCCAGGCAAGGTTAAAGTGCAATTCTACTTTGGAAAAATGTCCTAGATCCCCTGGCACTGCAGAACCAGCAGGAGATGTGATGTCTGAGCCAGCAGAGACCAGCCAGCCTGGGCTCAGGGTGGTTTTCATACCACCTATAATCAGAATGGGGACAGAGAGGAACACTGAAGCAGAAATCAGGGGGGAGACCAGCTCCCTTTCTGTCACAGCCTGGCTGGAAGGGAAGCACAGAGAGAGACACAGGTAGGCTTGTGACTGCAGTGTGGGGCACATGGGGCTGCTCTTGGGAGAAAAGGCCATTTTCTCAGTAGAATGACACTTTAACCTGTGCTCTGCTGGCCCAGGGGACAGCCAGCCCCCTCCTCAGCCAGGGCTGGGGTCTGTCACCACACATACACACCTAGACTACCAAAGCAGGGGCCCAAACCCAGGAGAGGGGGACTGCAAACCGACCTGCAGCCAAAGCACCTCTCCTGCAATGAACAGAATACACACCAAAGCTCCATTTCGCACGCAAGCACCCAAGAAACAATCAGCTCCAGCATCCCCAGCAAGCACGTGTTTCCCTCCAGCTACAGGCTGAGGCAGCACAGCTCCGTGGGCACAGGGGGATTGGAGAGGGAAACCCCTCTGCCCTGAGCTGACAACACCTCAGTGCTGGCCAAGCACTGAAGTCCCATCAGCTCTGGGGATAGATGTGCTGGCAGGTGCCCCCACAGCCCGGGCAGCCCCAGCCACTGAGGGTGCTTCCCCACCAGCCACGCTTTGGTTTGCAGATGCAGAAAGGCAGCTTCCTGTTGGAACTGGTGCTCTGGGTCTGCTGGGAGCAGGGCTGCAGAGGAGAGGCAGCTGGGAGATGCCTGGGCCAGGACAGGCTCTCCCCTCCCTCACCCAGTTCACTCCCGGCTGTGGAATCGCATCCTGTAGAGGCGGTCCCGGACGTACTGCTCAGTGTCCACTGCCACCTGGTTCAGCCAGATCACCCTGCTCTGGGACACGTCCTCCTTCAGCTTACGCTTCATCAGGGACACCAGCCCTGGCTCCTCGTTGGGCTGAGGGCCCCTCAGCAGCACGTAGCAGGCGTGACGGCTCCGCTCGAACAGCGCAGCTGGAAGGCAGAGCGGAGGGAAGAGCCCAGCCTAAGGTCCCTGAGCTCAGACTGGCCACCAGACCCAGCACCCACAGTGCCCAGAAGGTACCAGGAGGCTGGCGTCCTTCTGCACCTCCTTGCTGGAAGGAGAGGACTTACCAGTGAAGCCAATGATTTGGTCTGTGCTATTGCGGAGCTCCAGGAGGACGTTCGTGTAGGAAGGATGGAACAGGTAGAGCTTCTGGAGGGGAGCTCTGGATCTCTGCAACCAACAGGAAACCATCAGGACACAGATCCACACTTTATCCCAGAGACAACACCAGCACCAGGCTCAGCTATTACTCATACTCGACAGAATCCAACCACTCAGATACCTCTCCACATCTGCCCAGCTCACCCTGTCTGAGGCCAATAGTGCTTGTGCTGGGATTCTGCTTGCTGCTTAGTACCCTCCTCCCTGCTTCAAGCTCCCTGCAAACAGCAGGCCTGCCCAGTGCAGGCAGGAGACAGATTTTTGCCTTAGGGCTGGTAGAGTTAGTGAGGAGAGCACAGGAAGCTCAGCTGGTGCTCAGACATCCTCCAGGACACAACCTGACACTAACGCTGGCAGCCACTGTCCCAGAGGGCTCTGTGAGGCTGCCAGAGGCTGCCTGGGCACAGAGAGAGGACATCCATGTGGACCCAGGAGATCACTGCATGCAGTACTGCCATGGGAGGCACCAGACTGAGCAGCAGCAGCTCCAGAGGGACCAAAGCAGTAGCATCTCACCTTGCCACACCAAGGCAGGGCTCTGGGCAACCCACTGACTTTGTTCATAAAGCCACCAAGTCCCTTTTCTCTACATAGCCAGGCTAAGGATGGCAAAAGCTGGTAGTGTCACCACCAGCTGCTAGCAGGGACACTGCTATGGGAATTGTGAGGGCCCAGTACAGACCAGACCACACACAGAAGTCTGCCTGCTTCCAGCAGCCCCCACTGGCCAGAAGCCCCACACCCAGGGCAGGAGGCTGCAACACTAGTGGCACAGGGAGCTGTGAGTGTGAATGCTGGGAAAAGGGGGAAGCTGCACCCAGTTCTGCCCCAAAGGCTGCAGAACTGCAGGCATCCAGCAGCACTGCTCACCGTTTGGTTCCCTGCTGCCTGGTACTCCCCCCAGAGGAGGAAGGCGGAGCGATGATCCGCAGTGGGAAGCGCGGCTGGCCCAGGGCTCCCTTCTCTCCAGCTCAGCTTCAGGTCCCACTGGACTGCTCCAGATCCACTCTCAACAATCATCACCTGGCAGGGAAGAGAGAAAAAGGACGTCAGACCAAAGAGCTCTGACAAGGCCTGAGAGAGAAGCCAAGTCTCTACCCCACGCTGTCTGTAGGAACCAGCATCTGACCCACAGGAAGACGAGGGGACACTTGACACTGAGCACCCCAGAGCTGTGGGAACTGGGGTGACCACATTCCAAGTCACAAGTTTTGCAGCTATTTCAAGAGGTTCAGAGCTCTGTCTTTGAAGCTTCTTGCTGAGAAGAGAATTAAAGTGCCTGAGCTGGCTTCAATAACCTGTTGAAAGAGACCTTTTCCCAGCTTAAAGCTTCCTAAAGTCAAGCAGAGGGAACACATCCCACCAGCTGCCCTTGATTCAATACCTGCCTGAGCTGAGACATGCAGAGAGAAGGGAAGTTAGGAGGAAACATTCAAACCTTCTTTCTGTTGGGTTCAATTTCACTCTCAAGGACAAGACCAAGAACATCAGGTTTGTAGTACCCAAGCAGAGGCTCACTAAGGGAGAGAAAGAGCACAGAGAGATCACAACACAGCCTGGGCATTCCTTCTTCGTTCAGAACAGCTCTGTCCTCCCAGCACCTCCCCAGGCAAGAGACTTGTCTGCTGGGCTGGGTTAGCTTGGTACCACCCCAGCTCTGAGCCCACCCCTAAAACAGCTCCACCACAGCAGGCACAGGGTGAAGAATCAAAGCTTTAGGCTCCTCCCTTCCCAAGGGGTGCCCAACACTTGCGAGCAGAACCCACAACGCAACAAGCACCGTGCAGGTGTAACCCCAGAACAGGCTTTTGGGTTCCAATTAATTAAAAAACCCAGCATCTGCCAGGACATCAGTGCTGCTGGGAGCCTGGAGATGCCTTCATCCAGCCCACAGTGCTAACACTACCTCAGGACACGGGAGGCATTGAGGGTCCACAAAGCCTGCAGGTTCTGTGCGTTGACCAGCGTGGCCACCTCCGAGCTCACAACCAGGATGTTCTCCCGTGATCTCCCAGGAATTCTTGCCAGGTAACGAATCCCTCCAGAGCTGAACAAGGACAGAGAAATGATGGATGTTTTCTAGACTGTGGATAGTTTTATTGTGTGGGGTTTGGGGTTTTTTTTCTCCCTGCAAACAGGAACCTCCAGCCTGCTTGTCCTCCTTTCCTGTGAAACCCTGAGCTGGCCATCAACACCAGCCCTCTTCCCAAGGGATCCCTCTTTTTTGGATGTGCTCCTGGTCCAAAAACCACGTAGCCAGGGAAGAACAAAACCACAACAGGCCATCCTGGGAGGAACACCAGGACCCTCCAATCCCCCAGCAACCAAGACACAACCTCCCACCTGAGAAGGGCCAAGCGGTGCGTGACAGGGTCGATGTTCTTCTCCCACTGAGGATCTTGCTCAAGGCTGGGAAGCTTTCTTTCCATCCCTGTTGCTGCACTGTAGAGATCTTGCAGGGAATATGCATAGAGAGAGTTTTCTGTGCAAAAAAAACCACAACAAACAGCCACAAGAATGAGGGAGATAAGTTATCCTGCCCTTGCTCTGAACTCTCTGATTTTCCAGATCTGGCAGATGAACAATATTTTTAGGGCTTGCATCACAAGCTGTACTGGTATTTTGAGCCTCAAGCCTGCTTTTCAACCCTTTTAACAACTTGTCTGTTCATAATCCAAGTATCCCACAGTAATAATTTGCTATAAATGACTACTTAAACCTTACATTCTCAACATTTGTTAAATAAAATTATTCCAGTACATAACAAACCTCAGCTTAAGCAGAATCATAGAAACACTTCACAGACTGGTTTGGGTTGGAAGGGACCTTCAAGTTCATCTAGTTCCAACCCTGCATGGGCAGGGACACCTCCCACCACCCCGGGCTGCCCCAAGCCCCATCCAACCTGCCCTTCAACCCTGCCAGGGATGGGGCAGCCACAGCTTCCCTGGGCAACCTGGGCCAGGCTCTCACCACCCTCACACCAAAGAATTTATTCCTCATGTCCAACCTAATCCTCCCCTCTTCCAGTTTTAAGAATGTAAAACACTCTTTCAGACAACTGCTCAGGAATCCTGATTTCACAGAGCTAATCTCTGTCTCAGACTGAATCCCAGACAGAACTGTACCTGTATAGAAAAGGAAGTAGGAGGACACCAGATTCTGCCTGAGATAACGAGCTTTCCCATCCACATCCAGGCTCCCAGGGGAGCCAATCTGCTTGCCATTTTTTCCTGAATGGATGAAGGTCTTCACCTATGCAGGGAAGGGATTACAAAAGAAAGGGGAAAAAAATTAAAAGGTTCAAGCTGCATCACAATGTTATTGCTCCAACACGAGTGTTTTCCAAAGCTTTTGAGCAGCTGGTGGGGACCAGCAGCTCCATGGGAACAGCACAGGCTTGGGTGAAATGTCTCTCCCTGGCTCAATTTGAGCAGTGACAAGGATGGAGAGGACCTAAAGGCAGAAACAAAGCAGCATATGGACACAGAAGAAACTTGGCTTCAGACAGCAGCTCTGCTAAGTATTTTAAGTGCCCTGTTCTGCTCCTCCTGGGGCTGACATGAGTCCAAGGGGATAAAAATGCTGACAGGTTTCTTTATATTCTTTGTGCAGGGTAACAGAACCCACTAAAAAGGTTTTGCCCAGGAGAAAAAAGGCTAAAAGCAGGACCAGATTGAAATGTCTGGGCAACAGACATAGTCTGGGGAGAGCAGCACACACTGAGGAGAAGAGAAACAGCTTCCACCAGGCATGCTGAGTCAGGCAGGAACCCTTCCCTTTTCCTTGAGAGGGAGAGACTGGGAAAGAGAAGGAAATCTGCTGCTCTCCAAGTGAATCTGGAGAGTCTGGCAGGTGAATGAGGGACAGAGTTTGCTGGAGAGAAGGGGAGAGCAAGACATCTGCCAGCTGTTCCCAGGCTCCTGCACTGGGAGCACATACCAGCTCCTGCAGATCAGCTCCACCTTTACTCCCACGGACAGGAACAGCCAGAGGTTTTCACACAGCCAGTCAGAATACACACTCCCTTGCTCACTGCATTGCTCAACACTCCTCTGGGCTGCTACAGGCAACCTATCCTGAAAAATGTCCTGTGTTCCTGGATGTGTCTGTGCTGAAGCTTCCAGCAGGTCAACAAGACTCTTGGAAAAAGCTGCCACCTAAACCCCCTGCACACAGAGCCTTCCCCACAGGCTGCTCAAAGCTCTGCCACCCCAGGGAACTGCAACATCAGGTAAGGTTCAACTTCAGGCCTTGTCAGCAACAAAGCTCATTTCCTGAAGTTCTGAACCTTCCTCCCAACAGGAATGTCTTTTTCCAGGCTGCAGAGCTGCACTCAAGCTTCCTACATGCATGTGTGATTTCTCAAAAAAAAGCACATACTTTTACTTCAGTTGACAGAGTGATTGCCAAGCCCAGAGGGAGGAAGGGAGGAAGTTATCTAAATACCAAGATAGCCAGAGAGGTTAAATGGAAAACAAATCAAAAGGCAGCCCTGCAGAACAGAGACTACATTCAAACACTTCTTGGCTGCCTAAGATTAAAACCAAAAAAAAATGTATTGAGATAACTGGGATAGCAAAAGCAAGGATGAAAGAAAACAAAAGAGAAATGTAGGAGTTGCAGGGGATGGAATTTCTGATGAGTCTGGCAAGAAGAATGTCTTGGGCAGCAGGACCCTGTTTGCTCATGAGGACATGGGGCTCCTACTCCTCCCATCAGACCTGCAGGGAGCTGTAACTTTAAGCAGGTGCTGTTGTGCATCCTGGATGCTGATGTTTTGAGTGTAAAAACACACTTAGCTGCATGACTTTCCCTCAAGAAGATGGGAACAGCAACAGTGGAAGGGAGGCAGCACCAGGAGCTGCTGTTTCCTGACCAGAGCCAGGCAGAGCAGCCACCCTGGGCAGGCAGAGCAGAGGCAGGGAAGGGACTGGAAAAGGGCAGCACTGGCTGTCAAATGTGCTCTGATCCAAGAGCTAAACCTGTCAGGGCTGCTGCTCTTCCACCTCTCTGAGCAGACTGCTAGAAAACTGCAAGCTCATCTCAGCCAGGCTGGCTCCACATGCAGCCAGGAGTGCAGGCTGACCTGGGGGAGGGATCCTGGTCAGCTTCTTCCTTTCTTCATTACACCATAAAATACCTGCACTGATTTGGGAGTGCAGGGTGGGAAAGAACCTACCCCAAACCCACAGGTATCAGAGGCCTCTGGACACAAACTACAAGATCAAAATCAATAACCTGCCATGCCCTGTGGCTCAGCCACTGGGTCTATCCCAGCAGCAGAGTGACATACCTTATTTCCTGTAGCAATAAACATGATCAGGTCCTGAACTCCATCACTATCCACATCTGGAATCACTGCCACAGGAGGCAGGATGGTGTAATTAGCTCCAAAGTCACTGGATTGTCTCCACTGAACCTCCCCTACAAGACAAAGTCATTGGGAAACATTCACTGGGAGGCACTTCAGGTTGAAAGGCTTTTCAGGCTCCTGCTCCTGGAGCTCTTGGCAGCACCCAGGCACAACAGCAGCACCACAGGCCACTCACATCTCTGAAAAAAATACTTGGATTTGTTACTATCACAACAGCTGTGAAGGAGAAGAATGTCCCTAGGAAGTCACAGGAAGGCAAAGAATCTTAGCTCTGGAGAAAACAAGTAGGCAAAGGAAGGACAGAACTTTTACATAATAATATCCTGGCTCCAGCAGAGTCCTAAGCTACAACTGTAAGATCAGGCTGATAAAATCTGCATTTCAATGCATAAGGCTCTGTCCTTTGCTGGTTATACAGTGGATACAGTTTTGGAGGAAGCCCCTCACACTCTTAAAAGAGCAGTCTGATTGAACAGGAACAGGTAACAAGGAGACAGATTCAACACAAAGGACTTGAGAAGCTTTCGTGCTCCACCACAGACCCCAGCCCAGTCCCATCTTGCTCCATCCACAGGAGATGAGACTATTCTGTCCCACATCTGGAGTGCCAGGGTGCTTTCCCAGAGCCTGAGGTCACAGCAGAATCTCAAGCCAAGCTGGAAATTAGACAAGTGCCTAGGCAGCAAATCTAACCTGGGCTAAAGGGGATTTGGCTTTTGGTCCAGAAGGAATAATAAAATGAGGACTTAAGATGATGGAATTCAGCTCTGGCTTCAAGCAGCACAGAAGACACAAAGCAGGACTGCTTGCCTCAGGCTGCAGGAGGTCCAGGCACACATCCAAGACTCTGCTCTCCTAGTCTGCAGCTCACAAGCTACCTGAACTAAAGGCAGGTCTTTCCTACTGAGCAGTGCCAGACCCCAATCTCCTGCCCTTGCCCACTTGTTCACTAAACACTTGGAAGCTCCACCACATGGTGGGTGTGAAGAAGGATCCCTTTTTGGTTCTTCTAAAAGAACCATGGAGTAATGAAGAATTGTGACAGGAAATGGTTCATTCCTTATTCTTCTCACTCATCATTTTGTAGACTTTCCTCACTGCCACAAATTCTCCAGGCTGGAGCTGTGGTTTATTTAGTGATTTCTTGCACACAAGCAATTTCATACATCTGGTCATTGTGGTCCCTTTACTGCCATATTCCTTGGGAGGTCAGAAGAATTGACAGGGACAGAAGAACTCACCAGGGGCTGCTGGAGGATAAGATAAAAGGAGAAGGTGTGACAATACACTTAGCCCTGTCTCTCCCTCCAGACTCTGCTTCTGGCCCTGGCAGAGATGGAATATGCAGCTACACAGACTTCTGCTTTGACCTGGAACAGCTAATCTTAAAACTCTTGTGTCCCAGTTTGCTTGTCAGATAAACATGCAGGAATGTCAGATGTCCCACACAATCCAATCCTACTGCCTCCCTTCTTGTTTGCTCAGGTCACTTCTTCTGGCAAGGAAGAAAGCAAAGCTTAACACAACCCAGACTGATAGAAAAGCACTCAATTTATCAGCATGTAAAGATCAAAACCACTTCAGACACTTTCAGATTATAATCTCCCTCCTTCTCCTTCAGTATTCCTACAGGCTGAGGCAAAGGAGCCCTGGAATCTCACCAATCCTCCACATGGATGAATCATTAACAGCTAAAGATTCTTCTGACAACTGTTTTTAGCTCAGTGTGATCCAAGTCACACTTTGCCACTTTCAATATATTTAGCCCATTTAAACACATTTCTTTTCTGATCTGCCCTCCTAACCTCCAGTATAAGTCAACTACACCAAGAACCCCCTTTTAAGCTACTTAATAGCAAAATGGTACAAAACACATCAGCTTCAGGGTCACTCACTTTTCTATCTGAAGCATTTTTTCATCTCTTGCTTTTAATTTATCTTTGGAATGTTTTCTTTACCCTATTGTTGCTGTGACCTGTGGCTCAGCCTGGCTCCTTCTCTCCATGCCTGTGCTATTTATTTATGGATGTCTGTAGTTACATGCCTCTGGCTCAGCTTTGACCTGGAAATTAAAGCTACACCAGATTTTCCTCAGAGCTATGCCTCTTGCTGTTTCTCTCTCCCAGGTTTTGGAAAACAGGGGGTGAGGGGTTCCATATCAGAGGATGGAATCCCAGGCATATTTTCAAGGGAGCACATGCATTGCTTAGAACTTTTGAAACAGTGACCCCCAAATTGGAAACATATTCCAGGCTTCCTGAGTGAGGAGGATCAAGGTGCAATAGATGGTCCCTGCCCTGTTCCTAGAGAAGTACAGGTTCTCTTCACCCTCACCCTGCCTTAGGCAAGATGATGATGATGATGAACTTCTCCATCTATAGGCTCAGAAATTAAGAAGAGAATTTGTCCTACATGCTCTCCTTGATGACACTGAAATCATAAATCCCTAGAACTCCCACTCCTCTTGCCACCACAAGCACTTGGAGCACTCACACGCAAACTGAGATGCACTGAGGGTTTATGTCCATCCCCCGAGAGTATAAAGTAACACTCACAACTAGTGACTGCTTCTCCTCTTTCAGAAGCTGTTGAAAAGTCCTTCTTATAATACAGCAGCTGGCACAAGGCACCAGCACAGAGCCCAGCCTTTGGAACAGACAGGCTGCCAGAACAGGCACTTCCCATCAGCGCAGCGAACGGCTCTGGCAAGGTTTGCAAGATCACAGACACCCAGTGCCCATTGTTCCTGTACCAGCAAGTCCCATCACGCTGCTGTCCCCAGCCTCTGAGGTCTGAAGGTCAGCAGGGGAGGAATGCAAGCAGCACTGTCCCTTGTATGGTAGCAGGACTCTGCTCCCCACTCACCTGTCTGCAGGTCAACTGCCGTGAGAGCCTCAGGCTTCCCCACCAGCAGGCAACCCGGGGCCTTGGCCTCCCCGAGCTGCTGGATGCCACATTCCAACCACTCCACCTCCTGGGCTGCAGGCCTCTCCCACAGCACCCTGCCATTCGTGCCAGACACAGCAGCAAGGAAGGCACAGGGAGAAGGCAGACCTGGAGAAAAGAGATGTCAGCAGGACCGCTGCCGGCTCCTTCCCACCCGGACCTGGCACCCACCCAGCTCCTCTCCCCACCCACCTCATCTTGTTCTCTCTCCCAGTCCCACTGCAGCCTCACTAATTAGAACTAAAAGGCACTGGAAGAGGTTGCCCAGGGAGGCTGTTGATGCCCCCTCCCTGGAGGTGTTCAAGGGCAGGTGGGATGAGGCTTGTGCAGCCTGGGCTGGTGGGAGGTGTCCCTGCCCATGGCAGGGAGGGTGGAACCTGATGATCTTGAAGGTGCCTTCCAACCCCAACCATTCTATGATTCTAAAAGAGAAATAACAGCCCTTCTACTACAAGGCTTTGTTTCTGAGACAGCTACCTTCATCCAGACAGGAGGTGTTGAAGCTGCTGCTGCCATTGCCAGCTTTGAAGGCAAAGATGACATCCTGCACTTTGTCTTTGTTCACGTCTTCTATAGCAAGAAACTTGTAGGCCACTGTCAAAGAGACCACAAGGCAGGCACTGGTGAGAGTTGCCTCCACCAACAGCAGAGGCAGCTGGAGCAGAACACAAATTCCTAGAGACCTACTCACTGCCTCCATCTCTGACAGTGTAACATCAGGACAGATTGGCTTTTGTACTAAAAAAAGCCATCAACGTGAGTATCAAGGACTGGAAGTTGATGCCAAAGGCCTTTTTAAATTTGCAATCCCCAGAGGATCTGTCTTATTTTTAAAGCCAAGCAGCCAGAATTTGAACTATGTTGATCAAAGAGCAACTCTGGGCTTGGTGTGGGCTTTGCTATTCCCAAAAGATAGAAAGAAAACAAACAAAACACAGGAAACTCAGCCCCAGATATTCCACCTTTCTCCCTCTCAGCTAAAAACAACTTTATTCAGCTCAGAATAGCAGGATTTGGGATTTCTGCATTAACACACAAGGCTCAGTCCCTGCTGGTGAGCTCTAGTGTTTATAGAATAACCAGCACACCCCCCCTGCACTTCAGAATAAAGAAAAGCTTTCACAGAAGTGAACGCCAAGCCACCAGGGAGCAGCACCCAGGTTGAAAAGGCCACTAAAACCACCATAAATGTGGACAATTTATAGAAAAACAACCAAACAAGATGCAACTCCTCTTCTCCCTTTACAGAGAAAAGTTAGGAAGTCACACTGACAGAGGGAGAATGTCCCCAGACCTCAGCTCAGACTTCAAGGGAACATTTTACACCCCAAACCTTCAGAAAGATTGATTCCCAGCTCGCCTTCCTCATGTTTGTTTGGGTTTTTTTCCAAATGAGGCCAACCTGCTACCTTGTTCATGCTTCAGAGCAGCATTTGACTTCTCCATCAGATCCTGCAAGCATTTCATAGATGCCTGCTCTAATTCTGATGGGCTGTTGCTTATCCAGGTCAGTTATTCCCAGCTCTCACTCCCCAAGGGCAGCATCTCTGCAGGCCCAAGCTCCAGGCTGCTCTGAGGCACAGCTCCACAACTCCAAATCCATGGCACAGCAAGGAAAGGGATTACTGGGAAGGATTTTTCCTGCTACATCCAGCTCACCTGCATTGTCGTAGTTTCGGAACCACGTTCTTTCTGAAACTGGCCTCTCTGGGCAAGGAATGATAAAGGAGAAAGCAAAGACAATGATCAGGCAGAGGAACAAGGAGATGAAGAAGGCAGCAGTTCGCCAACGGGACAGGCGGGACAGCTGGGAGGGCTGCTTGGTGAGAATCCTTCTTCTCTCCACTGAGTTGTCATGGTTCTCTTGAAGTTTCACATCCTCAGTCTTCAGAGGGTGGATCTCAGCCTCTGAGTCTTTGTTATCCATCGCAGCTCACTCATGGGTGCTCAGACACCCTCCTCCCCCTTCACCTGACACACAGTGGGAAGAGCAGTTAGAACAGGGTTTAGGAGGGTAAGAAAAGCAACCAAAAGGTTCTGCTACTACCTGATATCCACACTGGAAACGTTGGGTGGGAGGAGAGGAAATCAGTGTGTTGTCACACAGAGCTGGAGACAAAGTGCTGTTGGTACCAGGGGTCTCCCAGATGGAGGAATAGGGAAGAGACCATGGGGATGCAGGAATTCCAGTGTTTCTCCTTCCTCAGAGATGGAAATCAGCTCTGCTAGACCCGGACAAAGAAGGCTACAGGCTCTGCATGGAGAGGACTGACTGCTCTGGAGGTGTTCCTCAAGGAAAACACACCAAAAGCTCCTTCTGCTGCAAAGACTTCTTGCCACCTCCCCTGTCTGTCAGTCTGCCTCCCAGCTGGAGAGGTGAAAGGAAACACTCCTGACCTTTATATCCCAACCTAAGGCTGTTCCCTAACGTAATGAGCACATGAGCTTCCCAGAGAGGGAGAGAGAGAAACAAACACCAGCATATTCTGCCCAGGAACAAAGCAAAGCCATCCAACACCTTAGATGAGAGACCACTTGAGAAGTTTCACACCCCAGCCCTCCAGAAGCCAAGAGAGTGATTATTTCCCTCCCCAGGGGTGAAAGAAGGCAGGAGCTGAGACTAAAATCAGGCAAATCTGGTTTCATTAGAATGGAAGAATTGCTAACAACTGCTGGTTTAGCTCCTCCTGCTAAAAATCATAATCTTGAGCTGCAGCTACAAAAACGAGGGGTTCTGTGCTAATTTGTTATGAAAAGGGGAAAAAAAGAAAAAGCTCTAGTTGGTTACAATAAACATCAACTTGATGCACAGCTTCTCTGATGGTGTTTCTTTAAAAAAAAATAGCAGAAGGGAAGAAATGAAGAATCACACATTCCAGCAGGCTTGGAAAAAGCTGCCTGACAGTGCCATAAAAAGTTCTATCAGGGCAAAGAGACGTGACAACTGAGCCAATTTTCCATGACTGTGCCCCAGCAGTCACGTGCCTGGGTTGTCTGCTGGAGCAATTCACTTCCCCAACAGAAAACAACCTAAACTCAGCCCCAACACAAAGCAGAGAGCCTGGGCTCTCAACTCCACCAACATCAGGGCTTGTTAGGTCTCATGTTTCATGCCCAAGCTCATTTACAGGTTCAGAGACACAAGGGAGATGCCTGGGGGGGTTGTCTCACCTCCCTGGGATGTCCCTGTGCCACCATAGGGAAGAGCTGTGGAGGCCTCTTCTCTTCTGGGTACAAATTGCAGGGGACACAGACCTAGGGCAAGGCAGGGGCTGAGCTCAAGGCGTGAGTAGGACAGCCTGACATGCTGCTGTTGAGCCCCCAATCAACCTCAGTGCCTGGCGGACCCACAAGGCTGGAGTTCCACCAGCACTTATTGCATCCCAATATTCCTCCTACACCAGCACATGGAGCACAAGATCTCACCCCAGACAATTTAATTCAAGCTGCACTCTACCAAGCAAATGCAATTCAATCAATAATGTAGAAGCTTTATCTTCTTCCAAAGACCTCTTAGGCTTTGGAAGACTTAGTCCAAGTATCCAAGCATTTGGAAGTATCTTAATCCAAAGACCTCATTGCCCTTCACATCAGTCCACCAGCAACAGCAGGGACACCCCACCAGACCAGCTGCTTCAAGACCAGGCACCAGACAGGGACAGGGAGTCTCCAGGTGGAAAGGGGAAGGAAAGGAAGAGCTGTGCATGCAGCCTTCCCCTGACCAGGCACTGCCCCAGCAGGGGAGCTGGCTGAGCCCCTGAGCTGCAGCAGGTACAAGGTACAAGGCTCCAGGCACAGGCTGAGCAAATGATTTACCAGAGCGGAGCAAGGGCAGGAAGGGGACACGTGGCCTCCCTGGTGACAAAGGCAGATGGCCCATGGGGCCCTGGTTGTCTGTCCCCAGAGACAGGGCATGGGGGATCTCTCCCTGCAGTACCCAGCTGCCACAGCACAGGGCCTCCCCACAACCCCACAGCCCCCCAGCCAGAGCCCTCCAGGGCACAGCCGGGTGCTTCCAGCACCTGCAGAACTTCTTGAGAAGAACCAAACCCAGGCTTCTTCTCCCTTAACCCAACAGGGCCACCATCTCAACACCCTGTGGAGCATTATGCTGTGTTTTTATGCCTCACGACATCACACCAGTGTCATCCAGAGTGGGATGAGAGCAATAACATCTGGCAATTATCCTGACAGCCCCAGTAATTCCCCCTCTTTTGCAGCAATGACCCTGTGAGCCACAGATGACAAAAAGCCCTTGAAGCCTTTAAAGCAATTCCTTCTCTTCCCTTTCAGGATTTGAACAATGCCCTTTGCAGCCCTGCCAGAGCAGAGGCAGTTGCCAGAGCCAGGACCACAAAGGTCCATGGCAGAGACTCCCAGAATGCAGGGAACCCCACGCCAAAGGACATGCTGGCAGCATGTGGAACGCTCTGAGCTCTGAACAACAAAGCAGCCTGGTAATCAGCTTAATTGAAGAGAAGCAGAAAATGACAGGGTGTGTTTCAGAGGGTTTTACCCTCCTCTAGCAGCCAGCTTGCTTGTCTCCTGCTGGTAGAGGACATGAAATAATGCACTGGGAAGTTTAAGGCACCTTGTGAGGAAACACGAGGTGACAGGACTTTGTGCTGCTGCATCATGAACACAGGCTGCAGGCACCAGATCCTGTAGCCAGCACCAGTGGGTGCACCAGTGGGTGCTCCAGATGGGAGACCTCACTGGGAGAAAACATGGGAAAGAGGCTTCATAGGAAAGGAAACAATCAGAAACTGCAAGAACCAGACCCGAGCCCAGGACTGCTGCGCTCAGGACAAACAGCTCCACTCACCCTGCGGGGGGCATTGACTTCCCTCTTCTCCCAGAACTGCAGCCCAGATTTATGGATCTGGTCTGAAGCAGAGCAGTGGGAGGGGGGCAGCAGGCAGGGCCACAGCCAGAACCAAGGGACAAGCTGTTATTAACAGGCAGCCTGACGAGCACAGAGACCCACACACAGGCAGGTGTACGGGAACCAGGCACAGAAACCACCCAAGTCTCAGTGTGGTGGAAGGTTTCACTCATTTTCCACCCCTAAAACACCAAACCACAGCATTTGTCATCTCAGCAGGCACCAGTTCTTCCTGGAAAACCTCTGGCAACGTATCCTAACTTAGATTGGATGTTCCACATGTTTGTGTCTTTCACAGAACGATGAACTCAAGACTCTGGCCATCTCAGGAACACAAATACAGCACTTGGATGTTTTGGTTCTGTGGTTTTTGGCTTGAAGCACCTCACAGGTTCCCTTCCCATCAGCCAGAAATTGCCAAAGCCCCACGCTGTGACCAAGAATGACAGAAACACTCCCCAAATTTGAGTCTGAATGAGATGTGTTCCCTCCGTGGCTGCCTCCCACTGCTCCACAGCTAAGCAGATGTCCCGGGTGGGCACTGCAGGGAACCCACCAGGCAGTCACCTGCTGCAACACTGAGACATGACAGGGTCACTTTTCCCCCTTTCTGCAGCCCCAACACCAGGGTCCAGCCACGAGGAAATGACAGGAAAGGTTTCCCCCAGAGGAGGAGATTTTCCTCTCCAAACACACTGAGTGCACAGCTTTGCTGGACCACCTGCAGCTCACAGCTCTTTCTAAAAGCCACAGGAAGGGGCTGGAGGGGAAGAAGTGCCTGGAGAAGACCACCCCTTGCCACCACCAGGGGACCAGAGCTCCCGCTGGCTCCTTACAGCCCTCAGTTTGTAACACAGGTGGCAATAAAGACCAGACTCAGAGAAACACCCACGTTCTGCTGCCACAGCTGCCCTTCTCCCTCCCCTGCCTCTGGTTATTTTGCCTCGGTTCAAGTCGGTCTCTTCCCATCACCAGGTTCTTCTCAAGTGACACTCAACCCTCTGGTGCAGACACAACACGTGTCTGGAGCATCTGCAGCACATGGACTGGAAAACTCCTCCAGAGCACAAGCAAATGTCACCTTAGAACGTGACACATCTGTCATTTGTAGGAAAAAAGTCCCCTCTCCAGGGCAGTTTTCCCTGCAGTCAGGGTTCCAGCAGAGCAACTCAACTTGGTTAGTGAAGAGCAAAACACAACCCAGCTTTTTTTTTCCAAGATGAGAAGAAGAAAACTCCCCAAGGTGAACAACAGCATTTAGCTGCATGGAACTGATCACAGTTTAGGTCAGTAACAACTGAGCAACAGAAATACCTGTCATTTAGCATCCCAGCCCTCACAGACTTCTGGGATCCAAGCCACTCGTCCTCCCCAGCTGCTGCAAAGCCCTTTGATCAGCTCCATGAGCAGCAGGGAGTGAGTTGTTTGCATCTCCCAGGTCAGAGCCATCCCCTCCTCACCCACAGGGCTCCCCACCTGCACCAGCAGCACAGCCACTGCTCCCAGTCACCAGACACAACTGGGAATCAGAGGAGATCTTGGAGCAGGAAAACCCTTCAGGAGAGGCTGTGGGTCATGACATCTAGGTTTATTAAGAAGCCCAAAAGAAACCCTGCTTCTCAAGTGAAACACTTGTTCCACAGGTGACAAACTCAGTGCTGCCCACTGAGTCCTTCCTCCTCCAGCCACCATCCTCCCTGCCAACCATCTCCAAGAGAAACCACCTTTCAGAAGGTGGATTTTTATCTTCCTCTCAGACGTGCAGAGAGAAAAGCTCAGCTACAGGCTATTCCACCCACACACCCAAGGTCCTGTGGAGCCTCTTGGCTTCAAGCCTCCTCAGGCAGCTCCTCACACAGGGGTGGGCTGGCTCCAGTCCCTCCCTGCAAGCCAGGCTGCAGTTATGCAAGAGGCTGATGCTCTCCAAAACAAGGAAAAGGTGGAATTTAACACATGAATGCGTTGGGGTTTTTTATTCACTCCTGCAGGTTAGGCTGGTGGCCTGCTGAGGGAGAGCTAAGCAGGGAAGTGAAGCTCTGAAGGCAGTTTTGAGGGCTGTGTGTGGGGCTGTGTGTGGAGCAGAGGGGCTGTGTATGGAGCAGAGGGGCTGTGTATGGAGCAGAGGGGCTGTGTATGGAGCAGAGGGGCTGTGTATGGAGCAGAGGGGCTGTGTATGGAGCAGAGGGGCTGTGTATGGAGCAGAGGGGCTGTGTATGGAGCAGAGGGGCTGTGTATGGAGCAGAGGGGCTGTGTATGGAGCAGAGGGGCTGTGTATGGAGCAGAGGGGCTGTGTATGGAGCAGAGGGGCTGTGTATGGAGCAGAGGGGCTGTGTATGGAGCAGAGGGGCTGTGTATGGAGCAGAGGGGCTGTGTATGGAGCAGAGGGGCTGTGTATGGAGCAGAGGGGCTGTGTATGGAGCAGAGGGGCTGTGTATGGAGCAGAGGGGCTGTGTATGGAGCAGAGGGGCTGTGTATGGAGCAGAGGGGCTGTGTATGGAGCAGAGGGGCTGTGTATGGAGCAGAGGGGCTGTGTATGGAGCAGAGGGGCTGTGTATGGAGCAGAGGGGCTGTGTATGGAGCAGAGGGGCTGTGTATGGAGCAGAGGGGCTGTGTATGGGGCAGAGGGGCCGGGCCCAGCCCTGCTCTGCCCCCCGCTGCCCGCCCAGCTCCGCGGGACAAACCGCCCGGGATCAGAGGCAAGAATCAGAGCAGCCACCCCTCTCGGCACAGCCCCAGGCTCTTGCGAAACGGGTTCAGTTCTTTCCCAAGCTCCTGACGCGGCCCGGGCCCCTGCGGAGCGGCGGCCGGGGGGGCAGCAACGGCCTCCCGGGGCAGGAACGGGCTCAGGACCCTCCCGGAGCTCCCGCCTTCACGGAACCGTGTTCCAGCTCCGGGAGCCGGAGGAGCGACCCGGGGCGGCGGGAGCTGCACGGGGCCCGGCCAGGCCCGGGCCCTCCCGGTCTCCCCGCTCCGTTCCACTCACCCCGCGCGCGCCGCCCCCGCCGCCATTCCCGCCGGAAGTGACGACACCGCGCGGGCTCCGCCCCGCCCCGCCGGGAACGGGGCCGGTTCCGGGACGCGGCAGCCGATAAGAACCAGGCCGGGCAGGAGCCACAAACACAGATCTTTTTAATTGCGATCAGAGAACAGCACAGTCACGTACAGGCATCCCGAGCCGCCGCCGGGCCCCGCGCCCCGCTTACCGAGAACAAGACGTGAAACCGCGGAACCCCGTTTGTCACGACGGGCACGGGAGGGGCTGGCATGCACTAAAGGGCTAACACCGAGGGGGCGGCCGCGGGGAACCGTGAAGCAGCTCCGGGAGGGGTGAAACACCCACCCCACCCCCCTCCCGCGCCGGTGACAGCACCGGAGGGGCAGCCCCGGTTCGGCTGCCACCGGGCAGCCCCGCAGCCAGGCCCGGGCACTGCCCCGGTACCGACACTGCAGCCACCCCGGGGGGCTGGGCGTCCTGCCCCCCGTGTCACGCTAGGAAAGGCCCTGGCGCTGGGGCACGGGAGGAGCAGCTCCCACCCCCCGGCCCCTTGGAGTTCTCTCCATGCCGGTCACCCCAGCCCCCTTCTGCCTGGCCTTGGGAAAACACACACCCGGGAGGCTCCAGGGAGGAAGCTCTGACTGGAGGGCACAGGGAAGAGGCAGAGTCGCCGTCCTCCCCTAGAGAAGAAATCAGATTTCCCACCTTCTTGTTTCCACCCCTCATCTGATCCTTCAAGGTACTAACACGAGCCCATCTCAGGAAGGTGCTCCAGCAGATTTGGTCATCAGCCCCGGGGTGGAGAGCTTTCAAAAAGAGGCAGATCAGGGCCAAATGGTGAGCTGAGCTAGTGAGGCAAGGCTCAAAATGCTGGAGACATAAACCTAAGGTGGCCAAGAACTCCAAGGTTAAAAAACAAACCACAAAACCAAACCAACAAACCCACGTCTCATTTTCTTTTAACATAGATCAACAGAAGGGGAAATAATAAAAAAAAAAAGCATTAAGTGCAACCCAAGTGGATCTTTTTGGGAAGGGCTGAAGTGTGACAAGGGCAGGGCAGCCCAGGCCTGTCCCCACAGTGGCCTGAAGTGACAACCACCCCTCCAGATGGGATTTATTCCTACTAAAAAAAAACAAACAACAACAAGATCCTGTTAAAACAGTACGCAACTCGGTGTCTCTACCACCTCACAGCTACCTGCCAAACAATAAAAACCCCCAAAACTACAAAAAAGATGAGAGTTGTATTCAGTAAATATAAATGGGAAATTTAGGCTTTGTGTAGAATGTTTCTCAGACTATTTACAGTGCAACACAGCTCGCCCAGGTCAGATCTCGCCAGCTTCTCTCTCTTCCG